TGCTACCATGGGTGCACCCATGCTTCGCACAGACAAACACAGACGATAATTGTCTGTGCGACACAAACAATTATCGTCTGTGTTTGTCTGTGCGAAGCATGGGTGCACCCATGGTAGCACCCATGTGGTGGCACCCTAGCATTTTCCTATTTTATTTTATCAAACGATCGGTGAATAGCAACTAGAAATCATTTTTTGAGATGAAAGGAATAATAGAATTGTAGGGTAGTACATACAATATTTTTTTTACTTTTTTGCAAAATAAATCCAAAAAAATCTTTTCTGTATCATTATACGATACGGAGTATAATTAATTAGTCAGAAAAAATTGGAAGAAATTGAAATAAATTAAAATGAGTTGAAAAAAATTGGAAGGATCGGAGTGAGAAAAATATTGAAATAATTATTATATTGATGTGATTTAAACTATTCTGTTTCCTTTTTTTTATCTCATTTTATTTTCCCTTATGATAGTACTTTTTTTGTCCCAAATCATAGTTTTGAGTGACCACAGTCACTATGATTTTCTTTTTTTACTTTTTTGAAATGAGTATCAATCATATAATTTGTTGTATCTTAATTTGCATGGCACTAATTCGTGTAACAAAAAAAGAAGCAAATAAAGCAACATTTTTATGGATATTCGTTGAAAAAATGGATGTAAATCATCTGATGATGTCTTGAACAAACAAAAATAATTCTACATCATATTTTATATATCAAAACAATAACAAAAAAGATTCAGGGCTAACGATGTTAATTTTACATTTGAATTTACTCATCGATTTCACATGATTTATAATTTTTATCTAATTATGCAAAAGAATGATATGATTTATATAAGATGAAGACAGTAATTATTTTATGTTTCATAAAAATTAATTAAATCACAATATTATTTTAAAATTGGAAATTTACCTATATAGTATTAAAACATAGTGAGTTTTCCAATATAGTATCATATGTTATTTCCCACTGGTTGTACTATTGTTCAATGTCTACTGGACATTGTTCAAGTAAATATCAACCGCCACTAGACATTGTTCAAAGTAAATATCCATAGTTATTGGACATTGTTCTCGTTACTAGACATTATTCAAGCACTATTTAGGGAATAGAAAATTTTAAGTACTAAATAAAGAAAAGACATAAAATAGGGAGTATGTCTTTTCTTTATTTAGTACTTAATAAAGAAAAGACATACTTCCTAAATTTTTAGTACTATTCAATGCAAAGTTCACTTAAAAATTTCCAAATAAGGTAAAACACAACTATTACAAATTTAAAAAATAATTTATGCACATTTCCGAGTTACATAAGTTTTAATCAAAGAATATAGAGTGTACAACTACTTAGATGGTTAAAAGTTGTGCTACGTCTTGTGTCTTACAAAAATGGTATAAAGAAAAATAAATTTTTTATTTCGTAAATAATAAATAAAATGCCACTATACATTATTAAAACTATTTTGATTAAAAAAGAATTCACTTTGAATAAATCCATTCTTTTTTAGTTTTAAATGAATATTAAAATCTCGTATCATTAATTCTTTATTGTTTGTTCCAAATAATCATTTCATCTCTCATAGCTTTATTCTTATTTAAATTTTTAGGGTCTCTGATATAATGTTTTGACCAATAATATCTCTATTTATATATAAATATATATTATTTAACTAAAATTAATTTTTAGGACAAAGATATTTTTTAATAAATTGTGGCATTACATCAAATTTTCTATTCTACCAAGATATATAATTGGGAGAAATAGAAAGGATAAGAAAAATTTAGAGTGAGTGCCTGAGTAGGGTTGTAAATGAATCGAATATTTTTAGTTCAATTCGTGATTCGTATTCGATTTTTTCAAATACGAATCTGAATAAATATTCGAATCCTTATCGAATACGAATATGAATCAAGGGTATTCGATTCGTAAGTTTGACAAATATATTCGGAATATAAATTTAATTATACAAATTATATAAATTGTCCCCCACCCCCTCCCCCACAAAAAAGGGCAAAAATTTAAAAAAAATAAAAATAAATAAAAAGTAGATAAAAATGAATGGTGGAGAAGGAGGTGGGGGACAAATGGGGTATACCGTACACATAGGTCATATTATATGAGAGATATCTTGTTGAGGGTCCCACAGGGAAGCTAGATATTTTTGCTGCGGAATATGGTTTCCAACTTCCTATGGATATGTGGTTGACACGTGTAACTCCCACACTCTAAGTCTTTCGTTTGTGGCTATGGAGCTGTCACACAACCCACGATATCGTACGGTTTTCGTTCAATGCAAAGACCTCCCCAAATTTAATTCGTAATTTTCAGCACCTCTAATAATGGATCGTGATTGTTGATGCTTCTCGACTCCTCTTTATTTCATTCCAAAAACTAAATTTACAATTTCATTTTGGAAAATGTTACAGGTACACTAAAAGTGTACCCCAAACATTTACCACAAGAAAGACAAGAAAATTTAAAGAAAATATAAAATATAAAATATAAAATAAATAATAGAAAGGGGAGTGGTGTACATTTGGGATACACATTTGGTGTACCCCTAACATATCCCTTTCATTTTATTAAATTTTAAAAATGGTCAAAATTACGAGTCATGCTAGGGTACACATAAATAGCTATCCCATTTGTGCACCAAGCAAATACAAATACTTAGAGTCTGTTCTTTAGGGCTTAAACCCTTAACTTTCAGTCCTTCCAGTTTCTTTCATATATTCTCATTTTCTTCAAACTCTTTCTACTCTCAATCAATTACTCTAAAAATAATATATTTTTAATGTGATTATTATTATTATTATAGAAATCATCTTAAATAAGACTAAAATATAGAGAAAGTACCATAATAGGACTTTCATATTTTTTCCTGAAATAGGACTTTGCACTGTAGTAATGTGACACTCTACAAGTGCACATTACTGTACATGAACATGACCATGTTTGGTAATATAAGTCCTGTTTCGAGGATAAAAACATGAAAGTCATATTTTGGTATATTTTCAATGTTTTAATCCTACTTTGTTCTTTCTTTCTTCTTCTTCTTCTTATTATTATTACTATTACAATTGTTATGTTCATAATTATAGTTTATAAATTATTATTTTTCATCTCACTATTTTTAT